TCGGAGGTTGCTTGAATTTTTTTCAAATAACTTTTTAACGGTGAGGATATTGACCAAAGTAGAAGGTGATATTCTGAAAGAGTATAACATTTCCTACTAATTGATGCCATGCACTTATTAGAAATACTCAAAAAGGCAGCAAAAAGTTGCATCCAAGTAAAACATTTGAAAACCCCCCAATGTACGAGGGTTGTTTTTTTTTCAACCTCCGATAGGCTATGAACAAAAGACAAGTTCATATAAAACATTAAATTTATTACCAAAAGTTCTGCCAACTTGTTGAACCAGCTCATTACTGTCGTTTCAGATGACTTGGTTCAACAGTTTGACAGGATGGCTAAATAAACCACAGATTCACCATTATTGCTTTGTTTACTGAATTTATAGAAATTTTAAAGTCTTTTTTTTATTTTTTATTAATTTTTTAATTTTTTTGACATTTTTTGTTTTTTGATTTTTTTTTTTTTATGTACTGGCGGCCACTTTTCTTGAAGAGGGTATTAAAAAGCTGGTGCACAGATATAGCAAATGTCTCAATCTCTTTGGTGATTATGTCAAAAAGTAACCATAAATGGACCAAACTTTTGGTAATAAATTTAATGTTTTATATGAGCTTGTCTTTTGTTCATAGCCTATCGGAGGTTGAAAAAAAAAACAACCCTTGTATTTCTTATGGAAAACATGTTTTTTTTATTGTTCACCATAAATAATAATGAAAACTAACTTTCATAATTATTTGCAAATCTACACAGTTTAAGCTTTCCAAATCTATACCTATAAAAGAGAAACTATGTATGTATGTACACATATATATGTATAAACCTTATGGACTCCAAAACCGCTCAACAGATTGTAATGAAACTTTCAGGCATTATTACGCATTATTCAAGGATGGTTTGTGTGAAGTTTGGTGCAGATCCGTCAAAAGGGCTCCGCCCCAGAGGGTTTTTTTATGTGGGCCAATATCAGACTTTTTGAACTACAATGTTTACAAATAAATATAACTAGCTGTTACCATTGACTATATATATAACACTATAGATTGAAGACTATGCGGGCGGACGCGTGAACAGGAAATTTCTACAATGTACTACATTGTGCACCGTGGACGCACATAGTACTGACCCCTCTAACTAGATCGCAGCACCGTTACCACGAAGTTCATGGAACCGTCGCCTGGTGTGCTGCAAGTGCTGCCAACTGGACTGGACTGAACTTAGCGGCTGTCTAGACTAGACTGGACTGTTGGACTAGACTCCGTGATATGGATTGAACGATTGCCCGTGCTGACGGCTTTGTACTCGGCGGCGGTGGCGGCGCAGCTGTGTGAATGCGATGTAGTAATTGCTCCTGATGTACAGTAGTCGCAGTTAGTCTGGGCGCGTGGCCGCGCTACGGTGGGGGGTGTAGAGGGGAGTGTTCATTGCTCATTTCCCAAAACATCTGCCCACACGGCTCCATGGAGTTTTTCAGCGAGGCTGAGGGGGTGAACGAGCCGTTATTCTCAGCACGGCTAGTACACAGGGGTCCGCCCGCCCAGACTAACTGCGACTACTGTAGTAGGCTACTGTTGCGCGCGCGATACCGGGTTTTGTTTACTCATTTACACGTACCGCCTGTATGCTTGGTACGGTACGAGTTTATTCCGGAGGATATAGCAAATCTTTGACAACTTATTTTTACTTTCTCCCCATATTAGTATATGGAGAAAGTATTGTTTACGTCAAAATTGTTGAATATGAGTTTTGGGTCGCCCTGGGCCCAAAAAACTGGTGTTTGATTTGATGTTTGTGTGTGTGTGTGTTGGTGTGTTTGACACTTTGGGTCAGATTTTGATTAAATTTGGTATTTAGGTACTAATCCATGGTTTCTCCAGGCATTTATTTATTATTATTTTTAGAAAATTTGATTTCTTAAGTTGATTTTCCAATAAAAACCCATAAAATAACGGGAAAATATGATTTTCTCGAAAATGATACCAACAATTTTGAAAAAAAAAAGTATGTTGTAGCCCTTTAAGTTCTGAACAAAATGGTACAACACCAATTTCTGTAAAAATTACAGTTAAAAATGTATTGTAAATTATGGTATTTTCTATAAAATAGCCCATAAAATAAGAGAAAATCTTAATTAAAAAAACCCCGTTCTGATTGAATTTAGTATGTGAATTTCCTTTTAATTCTTAACAACACAGTGCAACCCCCAATTCCAGCAAAAACTACACAGTTCAAAAGTTCTTGTAACTTGTGTTATTTTCCTATAAAACTACGAAAAAACCGAAAAATATGGATATTTTGGAAAAAACAATTCTGATTGAAATGGTGGTGGTCCTTATTATTCAAACCAAATAGTGCATTATGTATTCATTCAGTGTATTTGTTCTAAAAGTTGTCATTGTACGCTTAGTGAAAGATAGTAATTTCTTTACTCCAAACAGATAATTGAAGGATAAATTATATTAACCGAAAAATGATTACTTATTTGCTTATGTACAGAGAAAACTTGTTGAGACCAAACTATTGTTTAGATCTCCCAGACTGTAAAAAATACCCCCGCTGCATAGTCAATGCCCACAGGGACGTGACCGCGGGGATCTCTCGACTTTTGTAATAGCTATGGTAATAGCTTATTATAAAATTGGCTGATAACGGAACAAAAGGACATGTAACAGTTATATCACACTTATACCTAAAACTGGGGATCACCATAGGCCTATCAATATATAACCACATTTTCCAGCAGCAATGTCTCATAATCGCTTTATTACTGACACATCAACTGGTGCCTGCTTCCCTCTAGCAGACAGATGCTGTAAATCATAGTGTAGCCTAGGGGTTGTGGGGCATTGTGTTGCAGGCAACGCCCTTACCCAAACTGAACGAACACTCTGTCACCCTCCATGTTCGGTCATTTCACTTTCTCTTTTTTGTCTGAGCACATTTTGCTGTTTTTATTTGCTTTGGCTGTTTTGTGTAATTGTTATTTCAAGCTCGTTCACTAGTTTCAAATTGTTAGGTGGATGTATTCTACCGTAGTTAAATTTTAAGTTTTAAATTTTTAGCTTAAATTTTAATTTTTATGTGTGGTGAAATCCAATTAATTTATTTATTGATAAAATATCACACTTTCTTAATTTCAATCAAATATTTGATTACAAATTCTTACAACATAACATTTACAACATGATAGGTTTGATTACGCAAATTTGTATTTAAGTTTCTCACTGGCGTTTAAAATTATTGTATTAGATAGCAAACTGATACATATCTACACGACATTTTTTTACCAATCAAATTCACTAACCACTAAAATATCACGATAAATATTTGAATACGAGTCCCTGCTTAATATCTCAGATTCTTCAGTGAAGCAATTAAACAATGATCAGTCGTGCTTCGCTTCTAACAACACGAATCCGAGGCGAGCAGGGAGCTGATGTACAGTCACGTGGGCATGGGGAGCATGGCTTAGCTGTCGGCTGTCTGTACATTGCGTCATACCAGCAGACGCCACACCGTGGCAGCACATACTGGTCAGTGACATCAGCGCAATGATCGCCCCTTCCCGCCAGAGTGTGCTGATTGCTTGTTCACATCCAAATGCATGGCGTCTTCAATCTATAGTGTTATATAGTCAATGCTGTTACCCGGCAACTGTTTTGTAGGTTTGAATAATCACCACATGCTGTAATAGTCATGATTTGAAATAGTGCCACAATGTTTCCACAGAGTGCAGCACAGAAAACTATTTTACTTTTGAATAAGTCCAAATATATTAAACCCGAATCGCAGCACACCTGTGCACTCAACAACGTTTAAATTCTCCAATGTTAAATATGTAAACGTAAACATAAAAACCTTTATCAAAGTATTATAAACAATAAAAGGGATGGCAATGCCTTAATACTTTTATCTTTTGTTCTATACCCACACAATCTAACATAAATTATTAATTGAATAATAATCGTGCATGCTATCTCAGGTATTCAAATGCCTCTCTATTTGTCATTAACCCACCACATTACTGTCATTAAAAGAAGGAACTCCAATAATACTAATGCGAAACTTAAATCCACCGAAGCTGTACAATGTTACAGACTGGCAATTAAAAAAATGACACCAAAATTGATTGAAGCACAAATGATCAGTGGTAAGTATAAGGAGAAATGGTCTTAATACCAAGAATACTGATACTGATGATTTCATCCGAATTACCCTCTGAAATTAAGCAACTACACTACTTTCCATTGTGTCTTGCTTTCACAATCACCATTATAAGGCACTAGGGCAATCCCTGACTATCGTTGGTTTAAATTTAGAAAATGCATGCTATTCACACGGACAGCTGTATGTTGCCTGCTCACGTGGTCGTAGGTACACCTAAAAACTTATATATTTGTACACCTAATGAAAAACCAAAAAACATTGTTTATTCACCGGCAATTAAGTAAAATATTCTATTTTAATTTTTGGTATACACTTTTATTATTCATCGTAAAGAACAAATTACCATTTAAAATAATAGTCGTTAAGCGCAGCAACGCACGCCGGGTAACTGCTAGTTAATTAATAAATCGGTCCAGTAGAACTCTAGATTTAGTTGTACAAAGATTTTTTAAACTGAATTATTCATAAGTATGTCAATTACATAAACAATCATCCAATCTCTGGTATTTTGTTTTTACTCTTCAGAGAAGACAAAGTAGTTAATTTTGAGAGGTCATCATAATACATTTTTTTTAAGCATTACCATAGCACATGCTTAGTAGTTTTAGACTTTACTATAATAGTTGTACTCCCTAATGTTAATTTTATTTTTTATATGATAGCGGAGAACTATTAAAATATGTAGGAAGGTGCATATTTGAACCATAACAATAAGTGATTTCATATCATTTGAGGATTTTAGTTTATTCTCTGTCAAGTCATTGTTAAAACCGGGTTTAATTTTTACATACCCTTTTTGTTTATGTTGTTTGGTTCTTTGTAATGTCTCATTACCTGTATGATGGCACCTGTGGCAAGCAGTGCAGAGGTACAAGTACTGTCATGTGCCAGTGCATATCCTAGCCAGTTGACTGATCTCTGGTAGTCACCGTTACGCAAGTGTATCAATCCTAGTTCTACAGCCAAGTCACTGTTCCCTGGGAAAAATCTGTACAATCATCAGATGGAGCTTAATCTCATTTCACTATCTTTCGAGTAACCAAAAATACCTTGTGTAAATTATCTCTTTTCAGAAGAAATTCTAGGTTCCATTTGAGGGGAAAGGCAGTCCTAACAAAATAGGGTTCAAATTTTCATTTATTTCAAAGAAAAATTTAGAAAAACAATAAAATGCTTCATGTTGTTTAATTTGTAAACATATTATGGGAGGCAATAAAAATAATAATGGGATATGGTGGAGAGAGTATCACTCGGTAGGTGTCAATTATTGTTTGAATTAGATTTAAAGTTTTTGATATAATTCATGTCACATAATATGTGATTATATTATCAATTACAATGGTATTCCACACCACACATCCAAATATTTTAACACATTCAAATTATTCAAATGTATTAAAATAAATGAAAATACCCCCGGCGCAGCAAACCTGCCGTCTAAGCGAATTTCTATTTGCCTGAAATTAACTTATTTTTAATTCATCTATTTAAGTAACATTAGGTTTAACCTAGATTTGCTGCTACAAGGAAACTAATAAACATCGAAGTATATAACACAACTGGAATGCTAGGTAAGTGTTCACGAAAGCGCGCCGTTGTGGCAGCCTTCCCGCACCAACATGGGGGACCCAGCGGATTTTAGCCAATTCATCGAATAGTGCGCAAAGCTGCTAACTCGCTCCTAGCATTCAATAACAAAGATTAAGTACATTAATGCTTATATATTAGTAATCTGCATTAAATGCAGAATCTAATGGTATAAATAAATTTTACTTTTGATTTAAAATAGAATTTCCATAGTTAAAAAGAGTTAACAATTTTTACATTGTGACATGAAAAAGTTAGTATGCGAGGAAGTATTTTATTTTTGGGTCAGAAGAAAACTGTAAGCGACAAAGTTGTAGTTTAAGAGATGATTTTTAACATGTGATCGAGCAATTTACAATTAAGATTGTAGTTTGTTTGTAGTATAGTGATTAATAGCGCGACGAGGTTGATTTTATGTCGCACCAACCTCCTCAGTCCAGCAACTCTTTATGTTTGTGCTACTCGATCATTGTAAAGCTAAATAAATTTTAACCTTTTTTAATAGTTGATATAAGTTAAAGAATATAACTAACTATTCTATTGATGTGATCATATATTTCATTTATTTGCAAAAGGTAAATATCAATACCGGTACCGGGCTGCCGCCCATGAATGAAACTTTTAGGGACACTGTTTTACAAAACCGTTTGTTTCTCCAATGCTAGGGACATTATGAATTATTGTAACAAAAATAAGTTAGGTGTAAGGCAGAGATTGAAGAAATTGGTTTTGTTTCACAACATGTAATGCAACCTTTGTACTATTAAGCACGATTGTGGACAGTAAAACTATTGATACGTACTTGTCCAAGGCATTCTTTCTCTTGATTACTTATAAGAATAAACTTTTAAATTAATGAGAAACAAATTATATTAAAGAAAGGAATTCACACTTTTATTTTGATCACACAAACATAAACATGAACACAGCTTAATATAAAAAGTAAAACATATGATATTGAAACAATGTACATTTAAACAGTTCAGAGGCAAAGTTGTCAATGTTCCAATACTCCCTTCACAATTTTGAAACTAAATGTCACAAAGTCTAATGTTTACTTTAAGCTGTGTAAACCTTACTCAATTGAGAGGTTTAGTAAGGATGTCAGCAAGTTGATATGTTGTAGATACATGTTCAACATCAAAAAGTCCTTCCAAGAATTTTTCTCTGACGAAGTAATACTTAACTTCCCAGGACACGAGCTCCTTCTGGTTTGTCCACCAAAATCCAAGTTTTATTTTCATGAATAGATTTCATCGTCCATAGCAGCCTTCCAGTCACATGCATCATACAACACCATCGCTTCCTTGTAAGACCTTGGAAACATCTGTGTTTCTGATTGAACCAGCATCAGATCAAAATTTCCACTGCTCATCCAACTTGGTACATTTTTCACTCGTTTTCCTTGTCGCAACACGTCTTTTGTGGTTTCATTTTTAGACAATACCACACACTCGTCTTGCTCACCTCCCTCCAAAACAGTAGGAGTTGCCACTTCATCAGTTTCCACTTCCGTGGTTTCATTTTGAGAAAATACATCACACTGCTCACCTCCCTCCAAAACAATAGGAGGTGCCGCGTTGTCAGTTTCCACTTCTGTTGTTTTTGAAGTGATGTAAAAATGAACTTCATCGCTCGAAGATGGCTCATTATCAGGAACAGTACTTCCTTGGAATATCTCAGGTTCGAAGATAACATCATGGCTTATAACAGTTTGCCGTTTGCTTGGTACATACACTCTGTATCCATCTCTCAAACCATGATACCCAACAAAGATTCCGTCAATGCTTTTAGCATCTCACTTTTTCCGCTTTTGCTTCGGCTGATGTACAAAGCAGTTAGTTCCAAATACTCTGAGGTGTTGCAGACCTGGAACACTCTTACCCGACCACAATTGCAGTGGTGATTTGCCATCTACAGGACTTTAAGGAGGTAAACTGCAGTATTACAACCCATGTAGCACAGATGGTTGGGCCAACGTTGGCCAACTGTGGGACAGTTGGTCGATGGTTGGTTGGAGCTTCCACAACCAACCAACCGTTGTCCAACTGTATATCTCGTAGTTGGGCCAACCAATATTTACAACTGTGGACCAACATTGGTTCATTGTTAATGAAATACAATAATATGCATTGCTGGGTATCATACATCAAGCCAACCGTTGTCCAACCGTTTTTCACTCCGTTGGACCAACAAAAGATACTTTTGTTGGACCAACGATGGTCCATAGTTGAGTTTACACTACTTTCATTCTCTGGGTCTAGCTTTCACAACATTATAATAAAATATCTGGTTTTACAATACCTTTATTAGTTCCAAAAGTTTTTGGAACTGATAAAGGTATTGTAAAACCAGATATTTTATACAGGGTGATTGATATAAGTGTGCCAGCCGTTTTATTCGAAAACCATAAGAGATATAAAAAAAAGTTAAATGGTAAGTGCCTTGGATTTTTTATTAAAAAAATTATAGTCAAGTCAAAAAAATTATTTTAGCTGCCATTTTTCCAATATGGCCGCCAACTTTGATTTTTCTTATGGATCACCCTGTATTTCATGATGTATTCTGGTAGAAAATGTAATTTTAAGACGATTTTATCCTTGTAATTTTTTTCATGAACCTAACCGTTTCAAAGATAATAATGGTTTAAGTTGTGAAATTTTGAATGGTTTTGGAATAAAACAGCTGCATGCTTGCTAAGGCCTTTATCGAAACTCTTTCTCATGCAGAAATTTTAAAACTTTAACCAGTATTATCTTTGAAATGGTTAGGTTTATGAAAAAAATTACATGAATAAAATCGTCTTAAAATTACATTTTCTACCAGAATACATCATAAAATACAGGGTGTTCCATAAGAAAAATCAAAGTTGGCGGCCATATTGGAAAAATGGCGGCTAAAATAATTTTTTTGACTTCACTACAATTTTTTAAATAAAAAATCCAAGGCACTTACCATTTAACTTGTTTTGATATCTCTTACAGTTTTCGAATAAAACGGCTGGCACACTTATATCAATCACCCTGTATATTACAGTTCCGGGGCTACAACAATGAATTTTAATAATTATAATAATGCAAATATTTTTTAAATTAATATTCTTTAACTTATTTGCAACAATTTAAGGGGAAAGAGTAATTAATCATATAACAGTCAATTATAATAGCATTAATAATCTAACGGTAATTAATTAATCTATATTCAAATACCAGTATCCTCTCTAACTCCAAAAAAAAAAAAAATAATAACTACTTATGATGCCTTAACAGATTAACAGAATCATATTATACTGTGTAGTATCAAAAATGTTTGAAGTATTGCGACCATTGCAACTGTCGGCTACTCTTCCACCACTTGAAAACTCTCTATATCAACAATCACAGATAGCTCAGTGGTAAGGTAAGAGGCTGATAAGTCGAAGGACCCGGGTTCGAGACCCGTCTGGGCCAAAAAATTTTGTTCTAGCTTTTTTTCAAAATTTGTTTTTATGAACTATTTAATCAATTTACTCAACTAATAATTATGCTTTTCGTACTAAATCTTTATTATTTTGTGTGAAATAAAACGGTTGGTTGGATATCAGTTGTGTTATGGTTAGTTGGTCATCAGTATTTTTGGATGGTTGGGCCATTGTTGGACAATGGTTGGCTGGAAAACAGTTTTAAGAGGTGACATTTCTACCGTTGGCCAACTGTGTGGCTCCACAATTTACCAACGTTGGCCCAACCATCTGTGCTACATGGGAAGCCTCACCCCAAAGAAACTTCGGCAAGCCTTTCCTCTGAAGCATAGAACGAGCAGACTCCACAATCGTTTGATTATCCCTCTCAACAGAACCATTCTGTTCAGGGCAGTAGGGAGAAGTTGTACGTATCTTAATACCATACTCCTGAATGATTCTCGTAGTTTTCTTTGATAGGAATTCAGACCCGTTATCAAACAACATTTCTTTTATGATCTTTCCACCTTGCTTTGCTTCTGCAAGAAAGATGCGCATACAATCAGCTACTTCACTTTTATTCTTTATTAAAAATACTTGGCGATACTTACTGTAGTAGTCTTTAAACAATACAAAATAGCGGTTACCTCCAAGAGAAGTGACCTCCATAGGTCCGCAGACATCTGTACTGATCAGTTCACCAACCACCTCAGGACAAGTTGGACAAGAATGAAATGGACCACAATGAGATTTACCAAGAACACATCCATTACACAGACCTATGTCTCCAGTCACATTAATTCCATTCATCTTCAAAACTTGTTTAACATGGCGTTGATTCTGATGACCTAGCCGTTCGTGCCATAGCTGTAAAGAATCTTTCTTACATGCAAGTTGTACAGTGGGATGTATAGGACAAATAGCACGCATGTTAAGAAAATATAAATCCCCATGCAAACGTC